CCCTATTGTCACCCCCGTTCCGGAAACCATCCCTGGACGATGGCTCGATCCTTCGCTTCTGGCGCGCCAGCTCACCGATCAACTACACACTATGGCTATGAAGAATGCAATGGGCATATTCTTTCCAAACAGACTGGCGAACCGAAAGATGAACGCCGAGCTTGACATTTACTTTGGCCAGCGCCTCTTCCGGAAGGCGGTGTGGATTCCATGTCTGTGGAAGACACCCAACGCAAGCTCCTTCGCGACAATACCGACACTCCCAAACGACTCTTTTCACGTACCCAATCCAAACGACTCGTTTTACGCCCCCAATAGCCCACAGGAGCCTCAGCCCGAACCACTACAGCAGACACCCAACGTGCCGATACTAGCGTACATCAACTAGAGTTGGGGGTTCCCAGAGTATTAGGAAGGTCTGCAGCCAGAATCTGGGTGGCTGGGAGACTAGTCTTGATATAAAACCCTCTTCTTACTCGTAAGGTCTACTCTAACCTTCTTAATTACCACAAAATGCAAAACAGGGGTTGAAGAGAAGAAAGAGGAAGGAAGTGGAAGAAAGAGGAAGGAAAAACCCTCGCTACTGTATACAAGAGTCTTCTTGTGCCTCAAAGCCATACCCGAAGACCCACACCAAACGATAAACAAACAAGCCCACATTAAAATAATGATTAGATTGCAAAGAACTCGGCCTTTGTTTTTTTTGTTTTTTGGGTTTGCACTCTGCAGCTGCCTACAGTCCGGGTGTCAGCATTCCAAATCGAGAGCCTTCCCCGAGCTGGTTACAGGTGATTGCCAGGTAAGTCGCCGGAGAAGGTGTCTTCTGAATGAAAAAGAAAGGAGAGAGAAACCCAGATCACCCAGACAAGACAGCAGGATGCTTATCGTCAGATTCCTATCCCAAATTGTGTCAAAGCTAATGCAACTTGTTCAGCCGACTTCATTTCTCTCCCGACAGCGCAACCATGACTCCTTAGCCTCCATCCCTTAATGGTCTGTTAGCAATATCTATCTCTACGTTCTCCGCGACCGTGCGCATAAAGAATTTCTTGGACCAGACTGAGTGGGAAACGATGCAGGAACCGGCCATTCATTTCGGGTGAAACCGAGTTATAAAAAGTATGACATCTCCTGCAAACGTCCTCTGTTCTTTCTGTATTCGCCTTTCTCCTTGACTCCAAAAACTTGAATGCCACTATCCCTTCGCAATAACCGAGTAACCCTCAACGTGATCGATCAGTCTTCAATCACTTTCCGTCTGCGGCACGACATTCTCTCGCTTTCTCGCATTCCCACACGTTCAAACCCCTCGTTCGAGGATTACCCAGTCAGACAGACTTGTTTATCACGGCGGTCCATATTCCACCACACAACGTAGGAGTTAGTCTTCCTCGGACCATCACTGATGAAAGGTCTTCGTCATCAGTTAATATGAAGTCGCAGTTCCAAAGGAAGAAGGTTCCTATTGCTGTAGGTTATCTCTGACTAACAATTTCACTGACTTCACTTCTTGAAAAGCTGACAGCTGTCAGTGCGGCCGTTGCCGCAGACAAAAAATCAGATGCAGTGGCGATTTGGGCCAAGGCCAACCTTGTACGAACTGCAAGAATGCAAATGTAGAGCAGTGTCTCTTCCACAAGGTTAGTAAGACTGTTGTTACTTCTTCTGATACGTTTGCATCACTGTCATTAACCCTCAAATTATATCACAGGCTCCGTACCGGTTACCTTGTCAACCTTGCAAAGACGCAAATATCCAATGCAATAGATTGAAAGAACATGAGGCTGTCAAGAAGAAAGAACATCGTCCAAGCATTTCTGCTGAGTGAGCGCCCTCTGTTTTTTTAGTGTCAATACGCAGTGCTGACCAAACCCAGTCTAGCGGTAAGCGACGGAGCCTGGCCAAACAACACCGATATCTTCCCGCAAAACGCTTCCGTCTCTACAACTAGGACATCCGACGTGAGCATAGCCCCCGAAACAAGCGGCCCTTTTGCCACTTCGAGGGGCACTTTCCTCTACCTTGTTCCAAAATGTGTAGAAATCTTCTATCAACACCTGTATTCCGTCATGCCCGTACTATACATCCCGAAAATCCCACGAATGGACCTACGAACTTGCGATCCTCCCAAAAAGAACCTCCTGTTTTCCCTTTCGGCTCTCACCTGTTTCCGAATGTCTGGCCACAGCCTCGGGGCTGAGGAGAGTCCCGAGTTCTGGGACAAGGCAGGCCATTCCCTGCTCAACGACTGCTTGAATGTTAGGAAGGAATATGACTTATATGAGAACATTTCATTGAACACGGTGGTCTCATCCATGTTTCTGGCTTCTTCCTTCTTCGAGACTAACCGGAGCACAAAGGCTTGGGTGTACCTGAGAGAGGCTCTGACTTTTGCGCAGGAGCTGGGCTTAGAGGATGAGTCGACTTATGCAGGCTTGAGTCCCGAGGAGGCTCTATGTCGGCAGAGGGTGTTTTGGCTGTTGTATGTTATGGAACAGTAAGTCTCCATTATCATGTTCTTCAGTTCTGTAATAGAACGTATTCTGACAAAAGCAGGTCATTCGCAATTTTACGCAACAAGCCGCTCATGCTGCGCCGGACACCTAAACTTCCCATGACCCTTCACGCTTACGAATCCCGCGGCATCCACACCGGTTTTCTCCAACTTCTCGGCATCTACATTCCCCTTCGTGACTCCATCATCGAAGCCTGGACCTATGGTTCCCACCCCACCGTCGACGTCAATACCTACCTCGCTCTGCAGAACCAACTTGCTCGACCAGCTGGCAATTCAGGCGGCTTGTCCATCCCACGCCCACTTGTTCCTCCCTCACCCACCGTCGCCGTATCCTCCGTACAGATTCCGGTCACCCAGGCTTGCGGCTTCTCCGACCTCTCGCTCTCATCCTCATCAATTTCGTCTTCGCCTACCGACCCTGTAGCTCCAGTGGCAGAACCAACACCATCTCAAACCGCCAATCTGTTGATAACCCAGCAGTGGCTCAGGCTGATTATCTGGCTCTCCTCTTTGCGGCATGGGCACCTGTCGTGGACTGCGGAGAATGCGAGTATGCATTTCGCATTTCCCTTGACGATCGCTAGGCAAACTGGGTTGGTCTTGCGGCCTCTGCAAATTGGGGGCTTGGAGGCGAATGGTATGGCAGCGCTGGAGGTCAACGGGATGGGCATCTTTGAAAAGATCTTTGAGATT